TTGATTTCTCTGCCTATCCTCTCTTAATTGGAAATAAGAGGCAGCGACAAGGGCACAGTGTGGTTTTGATGGTACTCTCTTCTTTCCAGTCCTTTCATGTCACTGCCGTTGTGTTTTGAGCATACAGAAATGTTTGTGGGACAAAGGAAATGAATCTGTGCACCAACAGCAACATTGGCCCTGCCATGCCACCTCCGACTCTCGCAAGAGCGAAAGCCTGCCTCGCCAGGCGGAGAAGAGATGATTAAGATCCTTGTGGCTGAGCACAATACCTGCAAGCCACTGTTTTATCATGCATTATTGTTGATTTTGATGCTAACTGATACAAGCGGTGCTGGGAAACCAGTGGCTGGAGAGCAGGGTGGAAAAGCGCACTAACAAATGTATTGAATTAAAGAGAGACCCTGCATTTCCTTATGGAAAAGGTAAGTCCGTTCAATAGTGTGTTCTCCGCTTTTCCGTGAACGAAGCCCAGCTGCATCGGAGCAAGATCCATCCAGTCGGGCAGCCAGCCAGATGCTTGTCCCAGGAAACCCACAAGCGAGACTTGAAGGCAACAGCCCTCCCCCTGTTCTTTGTCCCCAGCATTTGGGCATTCACAGATATACTGCCTCTGTTTATAGACACTCCACTTCATGGTCAATAACTCTATTCTCCACAACTCTCCCTAATTTTTAAAAAGCCATATAGCAGGTGTAGAGCAGCTGGTACTATCTAGATACTGTGGACGAAAAATCCCTGACCATAGGCTATGCTGGCTGGGGATTATGGGACTTGTCATCCAAAACATGTGGATTGTACCAGCTTTACTACCCTTGCCCTGCAGGCAGACAGCCATCAAGTACATATTGCAGTGGATTTTGTAAGTTAATTATATGTTGGGTGAAAAAGTACTTCCTTTTGCCTGGCAGTACATCTTGTGCCAAGCTGCGGTTCTTTCCATGCTTTGTGGCCAATGTTAATTTAAGAAAAAATCTAATACCTTCTATTGGCGGTGTGAAATAAATTATTTTCCTCTTTGCTTGGGGGCAGATGTCTGGATGCTATGGCTGAGGCTACGAGGGATCTCTTCTTTTTTATTATTACGTATTAAGAAACTTTATAGCCCAATTTGTTTCTTGTTGTTGTTGGGGGGATTTCCCCCCTCAAATAACTTTATTTTTCATTCTTCCCGGCCATCAATTACTGGGTTTGTTTTCTCTCCCTTTCCATAAGATGGAGGAGCTGAGAGACTGATACTGCTCAATGGTATATAATTTAGTATTATTTGCACCAGGTTTATGAGATGAAAGTCAGATAAAACATTGCATTTGAACACTAAACCATTTATTACTTCTAAGAAACAGACTTACAAGTTGATGTCCTGACAATAATTCTACTTTTTGATCAGCAAGAGAGGCCTACTTGGAGTTACAGCCACAAGTAACAGACCTTTTCCACCAATAACTTTGTTTACTGATGTGACGGGATTTTAATAATAAACTTGATATATATGTAAATTTATTTTAATCTAATTTCATCAACCGGAGCCCACCTAAAAATGAGAGGGGGGAGCTGCGATTGGTTTGCAGCTTCTGATTTATACCTTTCCGCTCCTATTCCCAGATTGATTTCCAAGTGCTAATTCTATCTGGGTTTTTCCTCCCTGTGTCAGAAACACACTTCACTTCGGGCCACATGCTTTATAACCTGGGCTGCCAGCAAAGGATTTACAGCCCGGCTTCCACCAGGCAAGCTCCATGCGCTGTCGTGGCGCATTTCTTTCGCACCAAGTGCATGCTGACAGCTGCCTTGTGCAGAAGCCGTTGGCCCCGGAATCAATCAGATCCACAAGCCCCTAAAATTGCACCCTAATGAAAGCCACATCTAGCTCTCAGACACACACACACACACACACACACACCTTCTCCTATTAGAACCAACTGGCAGTTCCATGCTTTCAGCTTTTGCAGTCTCTATAGCTCACGGTTTCTCACACTGCCCGTACCTTCTGGCAGAAGGATGCCTGCAACGACCAGCAGTTTCCCTTGACTGTTAGGGTTTTGTAGGGCATCAGAACATGTTCTGCTACAGAGAACCATTTTCTGTTTTCAGAGGCTCCCACATGACACCCCAAGGCCCTTGGAACTGAACAGGATGGGCCAAAATACTCGGCCCAAAGCAACTTCCCACATTTCTTCCTGTGCTTTGCATGTAGGGCTCCTCCAAGTTCAATCGCCAGCAATAAGCTGACTTGAGAGCACGTGACGGAGAAGACCCCCTCTGCACCGGAGACCCTGGAAAGCAGTTGCTGCCAGTCAGTGTCAGGTGTGCCAGAGGTGTGACTCCTGGCCTGGATTCAAACAACATGCTCAGGGATTGAGTATGGGTTGACTGTGGGCGGCTCTTGAACCAGGAGTTGCTGTTGCAACATGGTTTATCAAGTGGTCTGAACTAAGAAGCCACGATCCATTAGCCGTGAACAATGCATGAAGGGAACCCACAGTCTGCTGTTAGCTTATGAACTGCAGGTTGTTTGTCATGGTTTATTCATTCAGGAAACAGAGTAACTCCCTTTTCAACCGTGAATCGTGGCTCAGCAGCCGCCGCCTTGAGCCCAGTCTCCCACGTAGCTCAGCGATGCAGCCCCCACTTTGCACAGGGAAGGTCCCAAGCCTGTCCCCGCCATCTCCAGGTGGGCCTGGGAAGGCAAGGAGCACTCCTGACACTACTGATCCAACCATTGTGCAGCTGTTCTTTCTTTCCCTCCTCCATGGATGTTTTGTGATTAAAAAGAAATGGAGGAACAATGGAGGGTTACAAATGAGAAATGTGCACTCACAGAGATATTGTAAAATTCCACAAGTCGAGCAGGGTGACGGCTCGATAAACGCTTTGCCTAGAGAGTGCTTTATCTTGTTGCTGTGCACTACAAGACAGTCGAGTCAAATGGCTACCGAGTTTCTAGTTCTCTCTTGTCTCCTGTTTAGGCTGCAGGTCAGACTCAAAAGCATCAGGAGCATGGAAATGCCCCCATCCAACTCTCGCTCTTGCCTTATTCATCAGAACCTGCCATCCTCTGAATTACCCTACTGTAATTTAAAGCTAGTCCACTTGGCCTCGACCTTTAGCAGAATGAGAAGACAATTGTTATCTCTTCTTTCTAACATTCCTTTAAATATTTGAAATGACTGAGCCATCTATCCTCTTTGATATTTAATATGAATATTTAATCTGAAATATCCTGGGCCCTCTGGCTTACCTCAGCCGGCTTCCCTTTCTAGACGTTTCTGTTACCAAGGGGCAAGGGCTAGAGAGTGTCTTAAAAGAAGCTGCAGAAGCTTTCTGGAGCTCCTTGCAGAATTACTTTGGGTTAAGCCCAGTTTTGGTGAAAACGTGCCCAAAATAAAATGCATAGGAGGAAGATGCACAGCATGATTCCCCTTCTGCTTCTGTTCCTGTAACAGATTTTGGCAGCTACTTTGGGGTGATTGCTTCCCCAGCTTAGTGCCTACCCAGTGTGTTAGATGGCAAGTCCCATCATCCCCCAACCAGCATGGCCTGCATCAGAGGGAATCTCTGAATCTCAAGACACAGATTTTTGGCAATGCATTCTTCTTCTAACACGGCTTCTACCTCACTTGCTGTCCTCCGCAAGGTTAGCTCTCACGCTGCCAGTCAATTTCATTCCCCACCCCTGAATTACCGGTTTATAAAATTATGCATGGTGAGAAGAACGTGGAGGGCAACTTTCCTGATTTTGCACCTGAAAACAACCCCAGGCCACGCTCCCCTCACCACAGATCACTTTACAAGCCTCTGCTCCAAAGGCAGGGAAGCCCTTTCAGCCCAAAGACCCAATTCTCTTCCAGAGAGGCTCCTGGGAATTGCATTCCAGGGTGGAGCAAGAGCTAAGGGCAAAAAAGCGGGAGCCAAATTATGGACATAGATTAGCTTCAAACACTTAGTAACCTACGAAGAGTTATTTCAACCTTTTAAAGTGGATGGAGGAGATTCCACACAAGAGCAAGGAAACTACCAAAAGATCGGCTGTTGCAGGAAGTGGGTCGTGGCGACCTGGGGAATTGCTCTGGTCTGCGGAACTGAGGACTGATTACTGACAAGTCCCTCTTTAGTCACCTATTTTTCAAAAGTAAAGATTTTAACCCCCCCCCCCCCCGCTCCCCGTGTAATGCTGCCACATGGGGGCATTGCTCTGCCTCAAGCATCTTTGTTGCCCCTTTCCACACTTTTTGCAACTCTACAATCACCTTCTTCAGGGTGAGGTGATTGGAACCTTGTGTATGATTCTGAACATTGCCACAGCACAGAATAGTAGAGCAGATGGCCATTTCGTTTCAGCCCTGTTCCTAACAATCCCTAGCACAGACTTGGCCTTTCTCGCAGCAGCCACACACAGCCTGACTTTGTCGAGCTCCCGATCACAGTGCCATGATCTCTTTTCCAACGAGGCACTGCCGGTTCAGATGGATCCGGAATGTGCCTTCCACAGGAGGGAAAGCTCCACTCAGGCAAGATCTCTTCCACGCAATTTCAGGGAATTTGCCTACCACCATGCCCAGTCTGTACAGTAAGCTCTCCAAGAGTCCTTGGAGCGGGCCGTTCACGCAGTGGCCAACCACCTGCCCACAAGATCCCACCAGCAGGACAGAGGGCCACTGCGCCCCCCCACCCACGTTCCCCAGCAACCGGGCCATGCAGTCCTACTGCCTCTGCTACTGGAGGCAGCAAACAGCAGGCAGGGCCAGGAGCCACAGGTGGACTTTTTCTCCTCCAGGAACTGGTCCGAGCCCCTTCCCAGGCCATCTCAGTGGGTGGCCACCACTATGCCTTCTGCTCTTGAACACCGCAGCTTAAGTGTGTGCTGTTCAAATCATTATACGGGGACGTGGGAGACAGAGAGGAGATGCAGGGCACACAAAAGGCTGGTTGCCTCCCCATTTTATGAAACAAAGCTCTAGTCCTGCCCAACGGATTGCTGAGGCAAGGGCTTTCCTTACCTGTTTGGGTGAATCTCTGCCTGCCTCATCAGCTTGGCCTGATCCTGGTCCCTCGGGAACCCATGCAGCACCCAGCCCCGGATGTGGCAGTCGAGCTGGTTCAGCCGCTGCGACAGCAGCTTCATGACAATGTTGTCAGCAACTGGAAGAAAGGTTTTCAAAACACGTACCATCAGCCAGTACCAGGATTTTGGAAACCACCCAGTCCTAATTTAATTTTCTGAGGGCACAGATTGTGGTTAGCAGAACTGATAGGCAAGCTGGCAGGTCTTTCCCTAGCTCAGGGGTGCAGAACCTCAGGCTGGCCAGGGCTGACCCCCAGATGGCCACACCTTTTTCCCAATCACCAGTCACTTAGTTGTTTCCTTTGTTCTTGTTGTTTTAATTAGCATATTTATATCTCTCTGTTTCCCCTGCAAGGAACCCAAGACAGGTGACATAGTCCTCCTCCTCTGTTCCTCTCCACAACCCAGAACAACCCGTGAAGTTAGCAAAGCTGAGTTTGCTTCGTGACTGAAGCAAAGTCAACCGGGGTGCTTCCTACCCCCTTCATGGATCACTGCTTCCTACCCAAGCGTCAACTAGAACCCAGATCCCCTGGATCCTGCCAAACAGTTATACCTCACTGGGTCTTTGTTTAGGTTTTGTGCACCCTCCTCCGCTGCCTGCCTGTCGGCCCATCACAGCTGAAAAGCTTGAAACACCTTTCCAAAGACAGTAAGAGGTTCAGGTAACATGCCGGCATCTGGGGTCTCCACCCTTTCCGGCCTTCGGTCCCATCCAGCACTGGAGGGAGGCTGCTCAGAGCATCACCAACATGGGAATTTGGTCTGCAGCTGAAGGAGGCACTGCTTCCTGAATTATTTATTTATTCTTAGCTACATTTTATTAGCATTCTCTATGACATCTTCTGCTAAAATGCCATCAAGATGTTATGCAGCTTAAAACACAATAAAAAGCTAAAAGTGACAGAAAATTATACAACACACAATTAAGAAAGCAGAATACCAATAAAAGCAGAGGCGGGTCAACCAAACAAGGCTTCTGGAAATTAGGATGCTTTCATGAGGCACCAGAAGCAATTCTAAGCTGTGGCCTGACCGACCTCCTGGGCAGAGTTCCCCAGAAAGGGGCACCACGCCGAAGACGCTTCTTCGGGCGAACTCCGATTTGACTGCGGGTTAATGCGTCTCCAGGAAAGTGCCCACTGCTGACCTCAGTGACCGGGCCAGTCCAGGAAGCAGGTGCCCTCGCATGGATCCCAGTTCCAAGTTGCCTAGGGCTTTATACACTATTGCCAAAACCCGAACTCTAGCCCAGTGGCGAATACGCAAAGCCGTTGCAGCACCGGAGAGAGAGAACGGTGCATTAAAGCTGCAGCATCTCACCAGGCTTTCAAGAAACTGAGATGAGGCAAGGGAGGAAGTGAAGAAATCTGCATTACTCCACTTTCTCTGTGATTAAAACCAATGAGGAGGTAGCAAAATGCACTGTAGACGTCCTTGTTCATCTGGGACTTCCTCAGGGTTGTCAGGAAAATTGGCTAGTCTCTATAATTACTGGTGGAGCAGACTCAAAAACTAGCCCCAAATCTCTTGGCCTCTAGTGTACAACTAGCTAGCAAAGTTGAGTTCGGAATCCTTCTGATGAAGTCGTCAATCCATATGCTTTAAGAGGATTATGATGCACAAGGATTTCAACCTATCAATTCCCTTTCATCCTAAATGTGTGTGAGTTTCAACCCTGTCTCAGAGCTGCAAAGTGGGAGGTGGGCAGAAAAATTCTCAACAGAGAAAGCTTTAGAGAAGGTATCCAAAGATAACTTTCCAGAAGAGAGTCCAAAGGTTGTGAATATTTGGGGAAAGAAAGGTGAGGGGCATTCATCCATCAGGCATTGGTTAGAATACTTGGCTGTGTCTTGGAAGATGCAGGTTCAAATCCCTGCTTAGCCATAAAGCTCACTTGGTGACCTTGTGCCTGTCATGGACTCCTAGGCAAAACTCCCTCACAGGGTGAGGCCGGGATAACATGGTGGGCAGGGGGAGTCAGCTGCTTTGGGCTCCTTGCAGGAAAAAGGTGGGGCAGAAATATAATACGTTGATCCACGCAGCGGTATCAGTCTGAGCTGGAGTCACGGCAAGGGGGGCGGTCCTCAAATGCTTGAGTCTTATTATGCTAAAGAGCGGATTGGCACTTGCCCATTTCAAAGCAAACATACTGGCTTGGCCACTGCTAGGACCATCTGCACACCGACCAGGCGCAACACCGGAGAGCTGGGGGAGAGGGACGGGTGACTCTTCTGAGCTCATTCGGCAAATCAGGGGCAGAGGCATGCCCGAAGGGACCCGCCAGCTCCCTTTCTTAGCACTGGGAACCGCGGGGGCTTGGACTCAGCCGCTTGGTTTCTGTGGCCACTCCATGCAGTGGGCCACCGAGTCTCTGCCTGGGCAGTGTTGTGTGACCTCGCATAGCCAGGCTTGGGCCATGGGTCTTCATGGACAGGGAGCAGTGGAATATGGTCACCCGCTCCAGTAAAGCCAAGCGACACAGACAGCAGCCCTTTCCTGAGCCGAGCAGCCATTGATCAAGCTCAGTATGGCCACCACATAAATGCACCCGGCTTTTCATGCGGAAAAGGAGAAAGCAAGAAAGCGTGGCCCCTGGTAAGACCAGTGTGAACAAGCCAAGAGAGGGCATTCGGAGGACGCTGGGGAGCTTGACCTGGCTGTGCCGGGAGGTGACCATGACCCACGACCAAGTCTGGGCCTGCTGTGTGCACTGAGCCTGGCCCACCACAGATCAGCCCATCGTCCTGAAGCAAGCCCTGCTCCCAGTCTGATCCAAAGGCAAGGATGCCAAAGCAGCTGAGCCCTGTGGGGCCGTCCACTCGCTAGCCAGGTGACCACTGGTTCCCCTTCCCCACCCCAAGACCACAAGCTCAACCAAAATAATAATCTGGATTGTGTCTATCGTGTATATCACTCACAAGCCCATCCCATCCAACTGGCCCACAATGGATGCATGGACAGGTAGATATTTTAGCGTACCGAAATCTGTGTCCTGGTGCACTAATTTCCATATACAGCTTTCTCGAATATATGCATTTTTCTACATAATTCTAGAGATCTGCACAGCACAATCACCAGAAACACACACTCCCAAGGATGTGTGTGCTCTGATCCACACTGTACTCCAGGAAGTACAAATGAGGCCACTAAAATGTGCATTATATACAAGCCGTCCAGAAACTCTAGTATAGGACGGCATATAAACACTTTAAATTAAACAAACAAACAAACAAATAAATAAATAAATATAAGTCTCCCTTGATGGAGCGGGACAGAAACCTGAAGATAGAATCTGACCCTCGCTAATAACTTCACATCTCTTTGAGGACTAGAAATCTGTTTTAAAACTACACATTGTGTGTCTCAGGATGTGACATCATTCATCCAATATTAGTCGTACATTTCAATCCTGCCTTGTGTACCTCTTTCAAAGAACCGGAGTTGGCTTACATAATGTCCTGCTCTCCACTTTTACTTTCATAGCCACCCTACAAAGTAGATCAGGCTGAGAGTCAAGGAGTGACCCGAAGTCACACAGTGAGTTGCCTGGCCAAGGAGAGACGAGAATCTGGACCTCCCAAGTTCCAGCCCAATGTTCTAACCATCATGCTGCACTCTCTCAAGTCCTCCACCTGGTGCGACAGAAAAATGCTCACAGCCCTGCCACATGCATAAGCAGTAAGCCCTGCAAAACACACATAGCTTTTCAGCTATTTTTCAAACTGCGTGTAGAACTCTTCTAGGAATAGGAAAGATTTTTCAGTCAATGCACTCTTAAAAAAATAAAAATAGAAAACCTCAGAATGTTCTAAAGCTCCAAAACAGGTTTATTGCATCTGCAATAAATGCCAGTGTAACTCTTACAAAATTCACACAGTTCATGCTCAGCCCCTCTAAGATAGGACTCTTTATTGCCCAATATCGTTGCCTTAAAAAAATCTTCTGATATATATTGACCTACTCTCTAAACCTATAAATCCTTGATATCTAAGACTCATTCTTGCAAAACAGGGTGGGGAAGCGCTTAGTTCTATGATGCTGAAAGTTAGATGTCTCTTTGATAGTTATGTCCATTCAGCTTTTCCCCCAAAATCACCGTAGATTTCTCTCTCTCTCTCTCTCCTTCTAGCAGTCAGTCGAAAGCTTTCCACCATAAATCCAGATGCCTGAGGGTTGATCTCAGAGTTTGACAGTTAACATCTTGCCCTGTTTATCAGCTACCGCCAAGGGCTACTTTCCCTGGCTTGGCCTGTCATCCCTAAATTCAGCAAAATGTGAGAGCAGAATACATGATTATGCCACAAAGGTCAAATTGGTTTAATACTATTTGAGTCCTCCAGGGAAACCGTCAGTTTTCCTGCTGACCACAAACTTTGGAGGAGTTATTTCTTTTGTAAAACATGTTAGCAAATGAATGCGGGGAGACAATCTCTTGGTGAGTGTCTGTGCCCAATCCAGGGAGACTAAACACGTCAAGCACTAGCCTCTGGCCTCTGTCAGAGCAAGGCTGGCACTCCACAGGAGCTGTCCCAGACCTGGAATTGGCTCACTACCACCAAGTGGGTTCTTGCTCCTTAGGGCTCCTTCCCAGTCTTATCCCCACCCCATTTTGCCCAAATCTCTGTGGGCAACCCAGAGCAGAGGCACAACAGCTGGGATTTGGGCTATGAAACATGCCGCCATAAATCTCAACAAACTAAGACTTCTGAGAGCGTGGCAGTGGCTGAACTTCAGTGGTAGATGCTGTGGCGGAAGCCCAGCAAAAGAATGTTTTGCTTGACTCCCAGGCTCCAAAGGGTGCACAGGGATGGTCACTAGGGAGTGAGCTAGTTTGAAAGCACAACTCTGTGTCTCTGGCACAGCAGATTCTGTGTCTTGGGTGCATGAGAAGAACCCTGATGGGCGTAAAGGCTGTTTGCCGGCTTCACACAGTGGCCAGCCCAGTGCCTCTTGGCGATACCACGTGCAGAACACAAGGGCAGTTTGCGCCTCCAGTTTTCCTCTGGCAACTGGCATTTAGAGGCATGCTGATCTGGTTCCTGGAGGCTGCGGAAAGTCACCGTAACTGATAGCT